TTCGAAATGTTGATTTTTGTGGAGGGAGGAAAACCGAAGAACCCGGACAAAAACCCTCGGAGCAAGGACGAGAACTAACAACAAACTCAACCCACTTATGACACCGGGTCCAGGATTTGAAGCCCGGTCACATTGGTGGGAAGCGAGCGCTCTCACCACTGCGCCACCCCCGCTCCCCCAATGTTCAGATTTTCTGCGTTTTGTTTTTCCAATGTTGGAATCCTGGCAGTCCCAACAACTAGCCTTATATACAACTTTTGACATTTAGGAACGGTTGATCCTATCTTTGCACGAAAAAAAAAAAAGACTTGATGGGAAGAGGGATTTGGAAAATAATTCTAAGGTCAATGCAACCATAAAATTCATTAATGCAGGTCTCCAGCCGGTTTGGTAATAATTTTGCTTTGTACATATACCCCTAAATAAGGTAGAAATAAGATTATTTCCTTTTGGGGACTTGACTAAATGAGACAATACAAATTTGTCTTGAAAAAATGTATGCCCTAACACTGCCCCGCTCAGTCTTGAAAGTTCTGCTTGAGTTTGCCACAAAGAAGAGCCATTTCATGTTTGATGGCTAATACTACCACCAAATTGAACCTAATTGACGTCAAGTAAAAAGACAGTTTCTGTTTTCCAACAAAGCGTTTTATTGTCATGTTTATCACGGAAGTTTGCGTGGTTTTTTGTTGTTAAGCTCCGAAGCCAAAAGAAAAGAGTAATTTCACTTATGTTTTAAATTTCTTTTGTTAAAATCTGTGTCCGGAGGTGCTGAAATCGAACGGTTTCAGAGAAAACAAGGGATATTTTCGGAGAGAAATCAGTCAAACGATTAATTACTAAAAAGATTTGTCCAAGACTTAACGAAATAGTGCGCATATCTCCAGAGCCACCTTTCCTTCGTACCAAGGCTCCGTTGCGCAAGAGGGACAGGTGAGTCTGGTGACGAAAATGCCCACAATGGGCTGTAACGCGACGGAAACGGGTTCTTGTCTCTTGCTAATTTCTCCCCTAAAAAACAGGGAGATAGAGAGAAACAAAACAAAACAAAACAAAACAAAACTGCAAGCAGCTTCCTGTAATCTGCTGATTAAGGGCGCTTTCCATTCAACCGAAATTTTAGAAACAGGGACAAATGATACGGAAATTTCCTGGAAAAGGTTTCAAAAAATCCGTAAATTGTTGAAATCGGAAAAGCGAATCATTCAACCAAAAATTACGGAAATTATAGGATGAAAATCAAATGAAACCGAAATTTCTAGGAAAACGTTTGGGTATACCTTAGGAGGTTGTCCTCTTTTTCGGAAATTATGTAAATTCGCAATTTTCTATTGCCGAGCTTTGTACTTTGCTTTGTCATGAAGTCTTTGTATCAAAATTCAGATAAAGAACTTCAATCATCGTCTATTTTTGTCCGCCATTTTGTCTGTCCAAGCTCAATTTTATCCGAGCTTTCAATCATTTTCAATTTCATCATTTTGCACTCAATTTCACTTTTCTGCACCGATGAAATTGCACTGACTTTGGATTAATTGACGGGCTCTTAGCCAATCAGAATATAGAAATTATTGCGTATATATTATTAGGAGTGTTAGCAACAACTTGCTTGAGCAATCTGCAAATAGTGAGTCCTAAATTCACTATGAACTCTGTGGAACTCTTTCATCGGATTTTGTCGATTGCACATTCATGTCCAATACACCCAACTAGAGCCGATTCGTCTGAGGCACTTGACGATTCGACTCGATTCACACGGAGTCGATCCGCACCACCGGAAGTTAAGACCCGTGAAATAATGATACATAAACGTTTCTCGTTCTTAAAACGTGACTACAAACTTGANTTAGGAAAAAAGTAGACATAGAGTTCTAGAGCTGGTATTCTTGGTTTGCACTGTCACACAAAAATTAATTCGAATTGACCATTCAGTGGATAAATTCAACACATTGTGATGTTATAGAAGATTAATAAAGAAGAAACCTTTCCAAGTTTTAGCTCTACAGGCTGTGCATCTTCCCAAGCTTCTGATATTTGTTGAAATATTTTGTGCAAATTTACAGAGCCCAGTATGAAACTACCATGTTGGTGTACCTCCATTGTACACCAACATTGCAGCAGGCAAATATTGTAAACATCTGGAAGTTACCTTGGATATCTAGGTGGCTGATTATCTGAACTGAACAAGCAAACATCTAAATATTAAGCACTTTACCTAATACTTTAACTTCTAAAAAGGTTAAAAGTCACGAGATAAGTAACTATTTTTTGACAAATGCTTTCATGGCTTTATGTTACGCACCACCATAACTCTGATATTCAAAATGTGTTTGTTTCCAGACGAAGCAAGCTATTAAGGTGAAAAGTTGTTAAAAGATATAAATTTATACCCCTCTTATACCTGATGAGGATAAAAACTTTAACTGGTGGCTCTTTAGTTTCATTCATGTCCAATACACCCAACTAGAGTCGATTCGTCTGAGGCACTTGACGATTCGACTCGATTCGCACGGAGTCGATCCGCATCACCGGAAGTTAAGACCCGTGAAATAATGATACATAAACGTTTCTCGTTCTTAAAACGTGACTACAAACTTGAGTCGATTCGTGTGAGGTACTTAACGATTCGACTCGATTCGCACGGAGTCGATCCGCACCACCGGAAGTCAAGACTCGTGAAATAATGATACATGAGCGTTACTCGTTCTTGAAACGTGACTACAAANATCTAGGTGGCTGATTATCTGAACTGAACAAGCAAACATCTAAATATTAAGCACTTTTCCTAATACTTTAACTTCTAAAAAGGCTAAAAGTCACGAGATAAGTAAATATTTTTTGACAAATGCTTTCGTAGCTTTATGTTACGCACCACCATAACTCTGATATTCAAAATATGCTTGTTTCTAGACAAAGCAAGCTATTAAGGTGAAAAGTTGTTAAAAGATAAAAATTTATGCCCCTCTTATACCTGATGAGGATAAAAACTTTAACTGGTGGCTCTTTAGTTTTGGATTTTAGACAATGATCATGTCACTGGCAAATGAAGATTATCCTTGAGGTCAGATTCGGCAGGTTTCTTTTACAGGTCACAGGTCACAGGTCACAGGTCACTAAAAAATATGCCAAAACGTCATGAAACAGATGCACACAAGTGCGTCCCAAGCTCTTTTCTGAAAAAAAAAACGCATAGGGGAAATTAGCTGTAGCACAGAAATAAAAAAAGAAAATTGATCCAAAGAAAGCCAAGAGTTATTTCTGTTGAAAACATAAATTGTTTGTAGCCTTTCAATATAATATGAAAACGAAAGAGGCTTNTCGGGATCAAATCTTCTCACATACAATTTACCTTTACAACAAGAAATTTGATTGGCTGTTTATAGTAGATCCAATCTGATTGGTGTGACATATATACATGTCTCAGTCACTCACTCACTCACTCATCCATTGACCCGTCCATAACATACCCGACGCGCCGACTAAGAGGTATTTCTTTTACAAAAAAATAACTCAAAAATGAGTAGCGTAGCCAATCAGAGAACGGCATTCGTGATAGAACGCTAGTAGATTTCTAAAATAATGTATAACTCTTTTGCCAGTTCATATTTGTTTTAAATAAACTTAACTTCAAATATGGGCATTAATTTAATTTAATTTAGAAAGATTGTTTTGTTCCAGCCAAGCCGAAACAATCTCTATCGGCTTTCCTACAAAAAATCTCTTTATGTCCAGCAAGCGGTGCTTTACCATTGTGTTTGATAAACCAAATGCAAGAAGCAATTTTTTGATTTGCACCGCCCCTCTGCCCCCAGGATAAGACGGCCTTAAACAATCCTCCACCCCCGGGCACGAAGGGCTGGACTTGTCCCGGGAGTTGCCCGGGGTGATGGTAATGGGTGGAATTGAACGACGCATAAATTACAGGTAACAGTAAATAGTAACAGATGTAAAAGTGAGTGGAGTCCAGAGAAAGTATAGCTTGTATTATGAAATATGGACCCCACGCTTGCTCCAGGAAGGTGAGCTCTCTTGCACCATCAGACTGTGGTTTTTAAATTTTTAAAATCTTCTTTTATCCCTTACCCATGTCCGGGTCCGACAGGTTTCTTTGACAGGTCACAGGTCACGGGTCACAGGTCACAGGTCACAAAAATATGCCAACAGATGCATACAAGTGCGTCCCAAGTGTAACTATAACAGCTCTTTTCTGAAAAAAAAAAAACGCATAGGGGAAATTAGCTGTAGCACTGAAATAAAAAAAAAACTGATCCAAAGAAAGCCAAGAGTTATTTCTGTTGAAAACATAAATTGTTTGTAGCCTTTCAATATAATATGAAAACGAAAGAGGCTTACACTGATGTTGACAGTGAACCAGGGGGCCCTAGAACCTAGTCTGTCACAATGTGTCACACACGGCATTTTGATGCATCAAAATGGAGGGTTCTGTATGTTTTGCAAAAGGTGGATAGAATTTGTATTTTTATTTGACGCATGATTTAGCCTTTGCATTTTAAAGTGGAAAGTGATTGCTTCTTTTTTTCTGTGAAGGAGAAGCTGTTTTCGAATTTTTTGTGATGCGTGAAAAGTCCAGTTACTACTTATGCGTGAAATTGCTTTCAGAAGAGGTATAGGGGACCCTCTTGTTTCTGTTTAGTACATACTCGTTGTAAAGATTTCAAAAAAAAGATAGAAATAAAACAGTTCAATTTGCTATCATAATGAATTATCTTATTACGATAAAATATATGTAACACTACATGTCTGAAAACTACATTTGAACCCATTTCGTACATATATCACCCCTAGATTTTTTTTCATTAAAATTATACAGTGAAACATTTTTAGTACGGGGTTTGTTGCATGGAAACATCGATAAACCTCTTGGGAATCTCGGGTAAAATTTACATCGCGAGTTTTACTGTCAATGTTGTGGTTTGTCAGTTGATGATGTACAGCAATGTGATTGTTGGCATCACCATTTCTCATGGCTTGTTTGTGTTCAGTCAGTCTCGTGTTAAGGTTACTGCCAGTCTCACCAATGTAGGAAGCCTGACAGTTGGAGCATTTGATCTTGATCGGATGATCGCACTATATGAACTACTGATACTCCTGGGTTCAAACCATTTACTATGTATCATTCACTTCCTCTTACAAGCAATGGGATGTAGACAAAATGAAGCCCATCATTTCTGTACATGTCCAGAATTTGTTTCAATGTTGTCAAGTAAAACACATTTAGCTAAGACATGGTAAGAATCCATCCCCCTTGAACATACGATAAGGCATCTCTTGCTTTTTTGACCAGTATTGTTCAATTGATGCCCCCATACTCGCAGTTAATATCGTCATGTAGTTAACAAACAGCTCCAGTACATGTAAGTTCAGCAGTTCGAATGCATTCACAGCTGCTCAAAATGACTGCATAGTACAAGTACAGGTATACGATTTACATGATGACAGTATGGTCCAATTACTGACACTCATTTGGGTAAAGAAGGTGAGTGCTTGCAAAAGTGAATACATGCAATCCACACTGAACACGAGTCAAGCCAGGATAATTTAATGGTTTGCGTGAGCAAAACAAATCTTGTATCGCCGAAGAAATTTTCTCATGAAGATCTAAGTGGAATAACAAGAGTACACAATTCTTGAGGGCGGTGCGGGAAGAAAGATAATATAACAAAAATGAGGCAAAGCAATTTAGAAATGGAAAATAACTTACCTGGAAAACTGCAACCAACTCATGATGACACGCTGTGGAAAAATATTACATGTACTCAAAACAGCAATGGCCACTGTATCAAGCACTCACGTCATATAAGCCTACTCAATTCCTCCCAGAAGACCACGCAATATGCAACACATAGACAAATAAATTCTGCCGACGGTAGCATAGTGGAGGCTGAAGCCCCCACAAAAAGGAAAGCCTTGTTAGTTTTTTTTTCACTATCCTTCCACTCTGCTTTCTAGGGCGATTAAAAAAGGAAATCAAAAACCAGACCAAACCAATTCACATCCATATATAAATTACCTGACAATTATGCATTGTATTAACACCATTTACTTTCAAGTATTTAAGAAGACAGAGAAGCACGATCTCTTCTACAGTCACAAGTAGGAAAGTTTGTTAATTACATATTTACAGATTTTAGGAATTTTCAATGTTATTATTTCTATTGAAACCTGATATGTCATAGAGTGAAAAATTTTAAAGAAGCTTTGTGAGCATCGACACTTGGGATTGACCAACTTGACTACTTCCCTTGGGATGATGCTCTGCGTGAGCATCGACATGTGGGATTGACTTACTTGACTGCTTCCCTTGAGACAATGCTCTTCGTGTGCATTGACACTTGGGATTGACCAACTTGACTGCTTCCCTTAGGACGATGCTCTTCGTAAGCATCGACACTTGGGATTGACCAACACTTGGGTTTGACCAACTTGACTGCTTCCCTTGGGACGATACCCTAGGGACGATGTTGATTACCTGTTATTGACACATTGCATGGCTTGCAATGATAATGACACTAATGGTAACAGTAACAGTAACATTAATGCAGGTGTTTAGTTAATTCAATTGACAGTGGCAGTTTATTTTGGTGTCAACTAAATGTTGACAGCACACAGCATGAATTTAAATGTCAGTCATGAAGGGTGATGTGCTACTGAAAAATGAAAACCATGTGTAACTTACTTAAATAATGGTTACAACAAATTGCATTCCATTATTGAAAGATAGTTACACAAGTCATTTGAGCAACACATTTCCCTTCCCTTATTTTACTTGCAGGTCTCATTCAGAGGAAACTGCCCTCCAAATAATGATGATGACCTTTGTGATACAATAGTTGGTAAGGAAAAAACTCAATTTTTTGTCCTATTACAAGAGAGGCTCATTTACAGAATATCACATGGTAAAGCCTGTATACAAGCCTAGTTGGCCATCAGGCAGAAGCTTATATCCATTTTTTGAAACATGAAGTAACTAGGTGTATTTCTGCTCCTCCCTAGATGGGATGCCAGTTCATTGCAGGGTTTTTTATTAATTTTGCCAGTACCCATTTATGCACCTGGGTGGAGAGAGGCAATGTTTTAGGAAAGTGTCCTACTGAAAAACACAACACAGTGACCCAGCCGGCACCTTGAACTTGGATCACTCATTCTTGAGTCCGATGCACTAACTACTAAGTCACCGCTTTGTATGATAATTATAATTAAATCAAAGCCTAGGCTATACAGAAGGCTAGAGTTTAGCCAACAAAAATTCAACAAAAATGTAAGCAATACCCCAGCATGGGTCAAAGATCTATAATTGGCCGACCAAAAACAAAAAAATTCAAGCACATCATCAATCTCATTCAACTCATTGTAATAAGGAAAATTGACAGTGTTAATAATATAAGGAATTGAAACAACAACAAAAGCCCTCTGAGAGGACATGTGGTTACTGGATAACCACAATGGTACAAGAAAGAGTTGCAGAGTTTTAGTTTTATTGCAAGGAAAAGAAAAAAGGACAAGAGAAAAGGGCAAAAAAAATCAATGTAGTAACAGCAATGAATTAATAATTCACTTCAACAAATTGATGCCAACGTTTTATCTAGGTATCTGGCTTCTTACTGTTGATAAGTTGCATCATACAATTGTGGCTGTGGATCCATGAGGTATAGCCAAATGAATCTGACAACTACTTTGACAATGTTATGATGAAATATATTTTGGAACAGGACAGACGTTCAAAGAGCTGGTGTCAGTGTTTTTTACAGTAACATAAAGGTTTACAAGCCTAGACTTCAGACAAGGGCTAGGACTGTTTATTATCCTTGAAATATTTTTTGCAACACGTGAGACTTACCAGTCTGTCATATGTAAATCAGGAAAATTATGAATACTCCTAAATGAAATGGTTCAAAAACCTTTGACTTTCATATGTTTTTTGACACGTTTTTAATTGAAGGACTGTTGAACAGGGTAAAACTTGGTTGAATCCAAGTGACAAAGTCACAACAAGCTTCTGTTGAACATTGATTCTAATTAGAAGAAACATTTATGAGCAGGTTACCGTCAAAGACATTTTACAGCGTATGAAGTGGATTTTTTCACATTTGAACATCAACCAACAGGTTTATTTCTTCTTCTGTCACAAAGATAACCGTTCTTCCATCTTGACACTAAATTTTTGAGGCCTTGAAGATTCGGAAATTGGGAATATGGCTTGGGGAATATTGCTTAGTGAATATCCTCGAATAAGTGGACCAATCACGTGCGAGCCAAAATATTTGAGGATTATAAGTCAGATTATTCGCTCTTGATTGTATGCGTGATTTGTACACGTGATTAAGGCAAAAATAACATTAGCACTGATTTTGAATTTTGCTGGAAGTCAGTATTTTTCTTGTGACCTAGGGTATAAGTGCGCATTAATAAATGCATTTATTACGTGTAGAAGAGGATTTGAAGCTCTGTTGGATATTACTTCCATTTTTAAGGGGAGGCTTGATAGTCGAAAAATCGCAAAATTTTCTTATTTTAGAAATATATTTTTTTGCCATCTACAAACATTCTAGTCTCACAAAAATAATCTTTTTTATCCATTTTATTATGATTTCCCTGGTTTTTTAAGCCTTATCTGAAACTGTTTCTTTGGTTGCTATGGAAACCCCAATTGTTTACGCGTCTGTTTTCGGCGAAATCCCTCGATTGCCAGCTGTTGTTTTGCCGAAAAATTGCTGTTTGAGGGACCTTAGTAAATTCCGAAGCCTGGTAACTAGTTTAGAGCTGATAGAGGATATTTTAGTGCAACTACATGATATACTTAGCGTTGGAACGTAGCGTGGTTGGAGTTTGCGATTGTTTTCGAAATTTACCTCGAGATTTGTAGTGAATTATGCCTCCAAAAAGAAAGTTAAGAAACGTCAGACGGAAGAAAAGGAAGTTTACGGGAAACAAGTACACAAGAGAAGCGAATTTGAAGGATAATCCGACCGAGAATGAGCAGGAATCTATGGAACAAAGCGAAGAGTCTGACAATGGAGATGTCACTCGTGCGAAAGAAACCAAGCGACAATCTTCAGATCGAGCCGAAGTTAGGTCGCTGCCTGCTTCTATAAGAAAGCTAGATGAGGATTCTGGCGATTCTCAAGAAAGCTCAAACGAGTGGGAGCCAGATGAACCAGAAGGTTTTCGGTTTATTGACATCGCTGTTCTCGTTGAAGTCTTCCGTTCTCTTTGGTGCCCGCTTTGCAGGTATAGTCGCATAGTTTTTGAAGAAGATCAGAATTCCAAGAAGGGTTTTGCGACTCTTCTTCTCCTAAAGTGTGCTTCTTCAAAGTGCAAGTACTCGAGCAGTTTTTATTCTTCTAGTAAAGTGGACGGAGGTCAAGCTTTTGAGGTGAACAGGAGAGTTGTTTTGGCATCAAGAAACATTGGAGTTGGGCACCAAGGCCTGGCAAAATTTGCTGGTGTCATGAACATGTTGCCACCCATGAATGAAAATTCCTATAGGGATCATGTTTCTGCTGTTTGCAATGCTGCACAGACTGTAGCCACGAAAAGCATGACAGATGCTGCTGAAGAAGCAAAACAATTTTATGAGCCAGAAACGGATGGGATTTTTAATATTGGAGTGTCTGGAGATGGGACCTGGAGGAGACGTGGCTACTCATCGGCATATGGGGTTGTTGCAGCCTTATCAACAGTGACTGGGAAAGCGCTTGATGTGGAAGTGATGTCAAAGGAGTGCAGAGAATGCATGGGATGGAGAGCAAAGGAAGGAACTGTTGAGTTTCGAGAGTGGTGGGAAGGACATCAACACCGTTGCCAAGCGAATCACTATGGTTCCTCAGGGTCAATGGATGCTACTGGCATGCTTTCAATTTTCCAACGTTCTGTGGAAAATTATTCTGTGCGCTACACTGAATTTCTCGGGGATGGAGACAGCAAAGCTCACAAACTAATTGTGGAACAAGCTGTTTATGGAGATGTTGAGGTAAAAAAGCTTGAATGTGTGGGCCATGTCCAGAAGCGATTAGGTTCAAGACTTCGTTCACTGAAAAAGCGAGCAGGGCGCCTTGAGGATGGAAAGACTCGTGGTGGCACTGGACGGCTGTCAGAATCACGTATAAAAAAACTCCAAGTTTACTATGGAAATGCTTTAAGAGATAACACCCATAACTTAGAAGTCATGCAGAATGCTGTGATGGCAATCTGGCATCACAGTCAGTCAACGGATGAGAGTCCAGATCATGACCTGTGTCCAGATGAGAAAACTCTTGGTGCGGATTTCAGAGAGACATTGCTAAAGGAACTTCTGATTTTAAGCATGAGCACCCACTTCCAAAGGCTGTAGCAAATGTTATTTTGCCCACATTTGAAGCCTTGTCCGATGAAGATCTTCTTGCACGCTGTCTTCATGGGGGCACTCAGAACCAAAATGAGGCCATCAATGCCCTCATCTGGCAGTGGGCAACTAAAGAAACTCACTCTGGTTTAGCAGTGGTGGAGCTTGCAACATTTCTTGCTGTGTCTCACTTCAATGATGGTGCAAGCTCCATTAACTCAGTCCTACAAGAGCTTGGAATTGAGCCAGGAGCACACTGTACGCGGGCGTGCAAAAAACTTGATTACAACCGGATTCGGCATTCACGGCGGAAGAGCACAGAAGGTGGAAAAAGAAGGCGGAAACAGCTTCGCAACTTCAAGAAAGGATACATAGATCACTTGGATGCCTTGGAGGGTGTGCACTATGAAGCTGGTGCCTTTTAAGGCTACCCAAGATACTTAACTCCTTCCAGAAAGACTCTGGTCCACTTTATTTGCATTTTTCTCATTTTCCCGATTTCTGAGGATTTTAAACCTTGTGTCAGTGATATCTCAAGAAATATTCTAGATATGGCAATGAAATTTTCACAGATTTTTACTCACTAATAGAACTGTGCAATGACCTATTTGTATGATGTTTTTTAACCTGAGTAATTGCATTTTATATGAAAGGACCTTGAACACTTTTATTGTCTCCTTTGAAAAGGGACAGTTCATGACTGTATTGGAGTATGTACCTGAAAATAGGTCATGGCACAGCTGTAAACAGGTACTACAAGCCTGCAAAATTAGCCTAATAGTCTTCACACTTAATTAAAAATTTTATATCATAAAGGGGTCCCACATAAACATCATTAAAGGTAGGAGGTGAGGGGAAGTTCTCTGAGATTAGCATATGCCTAGGTGCATGCAGTCTCAGACTGTGCACAGACATGTAATTTATAACAAGAAACTACATGGTTTATATTTTCTTGTTCTAGTTTGAAAAGGAAATGCGGTTTAAGTTTGGACTCTGAGCTGAACATTCGTAACCTATTGATGTACATGTAATTCCAATGAGAACCACCTCCTCCCCATCCCCAGCAAAAAGTACTCAATAAATATTACTATAAATCCATCAAAAAAACATATTTTCCTGTAATTTGCACAGATGTTTGGGAGAACAACAATCATTTGCAGCAAGGCAATGGGAAAGGCTTGCATAATCCTTTGAATCTGTGGAGGCTGCAAGAAAAAGATGGAATTGTAAAGTCGAGGAAGAAAGATCAGAAAAGGCAAAAGAAAACTCACTCTGGAAATTTTGACAGAATGACATGGGACAAGGAAGCACTAAAGAAAGAAGTTGAAAGCAAAAAGGATGGCAAAAAAATCAATTGGTCAGAGGTTGTTTGCCGATACCATGTAACCCACAAGAGGGGAGAGATTGCTAGGAATGGCAGGCAAATAGTCCAGGAATGGCTGGTGAATCAGGGAGTAAATATTCACCGTTTCAACCCTCAAGGATTGCCAAACAAGTTAAGGGCAAGACAAAAAAAGAAGAGGGGACAAGGTGGTGAAATAAGCATTCCTGTCCCAGAGACAACTGCTAATTGCTTGTTCATTATTTTCTATATTTTGCAGTATGAAAACCTGGTCATTGATAAAGATAGCAATATCAAAAAGACACAGTTTGTGGTTGAAGGTAGAAAACAACCATTGGAAGAAATTCACAAAAAGACATTAAAGCTCCATGAAAATTCATGAGTCAAACAGATGAATTCTACGATAAGATGCCCAGAGAGCAAGTGGTATCTAGGTTAAAGGAGTTGAATGAATATGATGAAAATGATGGTCTGACGAAAATGAGAAAAAAAAATGAAAATAACGGAACAGACTCGTCACCTGCAGATATGGCATGACCATTCAACACTAGCTAATCATGGGCACATCTTTTTCATGGTGTCCTGCCTTTACGACCAGCTGTGCATCTTAAAAGCCTGGAGTATAAATTGGAAACAGGGGAGGAGGTGGATGTTCAGACGGAAGTGGAGAAACCAGAAATATACATTGTCAGGAGATGCCGTAGCAGTGATACAGAACAACTTGCCTATGTAGAGAGCAGGTTATGCTGCCTCCAGTACCTTCAAAGAAACCTCACAACTGAGAAAGAAGGATGCATGGTGGAAATAAATGACAAGATGTAATTTTTCCATGGTGACTCACCAGCCCAGAACTTTGAAAGTGGTCAGCAGAAGGGAGGTCATTATTATTGCTCTGGATGTGGTGTTCAGCTACAGTCTCAAGATCTCAAACACATTTCTAATTGTGAGGAGTTTAATTTAATCCAACGTTCCCAGAAGGGAGCTGTTGCAGAAAATGACGAAACCCTAGCAACTCCATGTGCCAACCTATCTACAAGAAATCTCTCACAAGAGCATGACCAGACTGTGACATTGAAGTCTTCAGAGAGAAGTGCAGTAAGTAAATTACATTGGAAGTAATGGCCTTGCTTCTCTTCATTTATAATCGATGCACTTCGTTTATAATTGGCTGTTCATAATTGCGGTTGCACCATTTACATAGAAAGCATCTTGTACCAACAAAAATATCGTGACGTATACTGTACCGTTAAGTTTTAGAGTGCAAATACATTTGTAAGCACCAAAAATAGTGCAAGCATGGGACCATGATTACCATCCTCTTCCAAAGTGAACAATGGAAATACTATTAAATGCAAACATTTTTATTATCAGTTTTTACAGCTGTGTATTTTGTCACATAAAGTAACCAGCCATTGAAATTATTTACTGCAATGCAATCCACTGAAGCAATGCCAGAAGTGAATGAGCAGCAGAGAGGGAAACTTCCATTTTGCCATACACATGTTTTTTATTACCTTTTCTCTCCAAAACTCTTACATTTATTGTGCAATTTTCTTTCAAGGAGGCAGCAATGACAGTCAACTTCAGACTACACTGGGAAAGAGTGTTGCCATTGTACTTGGAGTTACTCCAGATGTAGTTCTTTTCGACAAGATGAGAAGTGAATATAGGAAACATCCAAGACACAAACTGTTACGAAAGGTTTATGGATGAACTGGTAAAGATTCAGACTGGCATTCTGAAAAAGTTAAGGGAGTTGAATGTAGCACTCAGGGAATGGGACAAAAACTATTTTTTGAAAAATAACCATTTACCAACCTATGCTCATGTGAACCAAGATGAGGAGGGTAAACAGCTAACAAGGAAAATTAAATACGCTAAAGTCCTTCTGAGGGTGGAAAATGGACTTCACTTCCTAACCCCTAACTTTCTTAACCCTGGACTAAACGTGGCCATTTAAGCTACAGTGGTGATGTAAGGCCAAGCTTTATTTAGTATAATTTCATATATTATTTTATATGTAAGATATCTACAACAATTACATGTAAGGCAAAGTTCACTATTAGGATAAATATATCAACTTACAGGCTCAGGAGAGGAGATTTTAATGCAACAGCAATGAATACAAGGAGCTCTGTTATTCCAAGAGGTGTAACTTACATGTGAAACAGATATTAAACTGATCTTATTACGAGATTATTGTAATGTACGCAACTGAGTTTCTTACCTTACTCATTGATGAATCAGGACCATATTTGTCCAGCTTACAATAGACAGAATTTACACTCCACAACTTTTGCTGTTGTTCTTGAATGATTAAGTAATGTTCTTTGTACCATACCCTGTTCATTGATGAACAACTGGAAAATCAAAAAATAAACCAAGTAATCCTGAGTAATCAAGTAATGACAACCACAAACACATATTTGCATGCACAGATTTCCCAGCAAAGGCTCACTTGCGACGATTTGGTCGATTCCAGAGAGAATCATGCCATGGTTTACCCATGAAAATGGGATTAAAGAAAAATGAAGGATGAGAAAAGAATGACAGAATTGTCACAATCATGTTAGTCTTTCCACAAACCAAGTGAGGATAGGCTGATTGCAAAGATGTCAGCTGTCTTCGACCATGTCATATCTGAGTTGCTACCGACACAGAGAGCATCATCTGGTACTTCATTTGGAATAGTGTTTCTGGAGGAAATGGTTAAACAGTCTACTTTGGAAGAAGAATTCAAAATGCAAGTAGCAAAGATTAGACGTGAGCTTAACTCCAAAAATGCTATCATTGGTGAACTAAAAAACCAAATGAGAAGAACCAAAAAATGAAGGTTCCTGAAACTGCCATGAGATTTACATGCATACTTGACAACCCAACCGATGATAATAGGATCCTTTTATCAATTTTGTCAAATTTGCTAGGCAACAACAAGGCACACAACAAACTTTGGAACGATGACACAAAGGATCTTTTTGCTATTATACTTGATTATGGGGGCCCTGCATCAGCCAAAACTGTGTCAAAGAGACTGTGTGGGCCAAGTCTGAAGACCTGCTACAGAGAAGCTAGAGCAACCTGGTCAGTGCTTTTGGCTATAAAAGAGGACTGCAACTGCCTTGTCTCCCTCTTTAAGATCAAAGGGGAATGTAATTTATGGTCTTGCAACTGAATCTGATGTTATTGTCTCGTCGGCACAGGATATAATTGACATTGTCAAGAATAGTAATGTTGAAAAAGCTGGGCAGGCAAATGCATTTGTCTTAGTTCCCATTCAAGAACATGTTCCTTCTTTTGTGCTTGCCATATCTCCAGTTGTAAACGGACAAAGCTACTTAACAGTGAATGATTGGTACACCAAGACTACGCAATGCTGTTTGACCAGTAACATGAAAGTCATAGGTATCGGTGCTGATGGGGATTCAAAGTTCCGAAAGTACTTTATTCAGCGCTTTATGAATGGTGAACTACAGACAGGTGGTAATATCATTACAATTCCTTATGAATCATTTGAATATGTTTCTGTTATCGAGAAGATCAATGATTTGGAAATACCCACTCTTATGTTTCCCGACTGGCAACACTTGAGAAAAAAATGGACAAATCAACTCCTTAATGTCAAGAGGATCCTTGTCATTGGAAACCAAGTAGCTCAATTGGAACACCTTATAAAAACATACGAGGCGCATAAACTTGAGTCAGGACTGTGGAAAAGCAACATATTTGTTAAAGACAACCAAAATGTAAAAGCTGCAACTCGTATCTTAGGAGATACGGTTCAACAGTGTATGGTGTCTATGGATGCAGAAAGGACAATAGGTACCAGGGTTTACTTAAAAATGGGGCGAAACATGTTGAGGGTGTATACAAAACCGAACATATCTGTGAAAGAGTGTGTCCGCCTAGCATGGTCAGCAGTATCGTTTCTAAGGCTCTGGAAAACATGGCTTATAATTTCTGGATTTAAAGCTGAAACCTTGTTTATATCTGATCAAACTTACAATGATTTTATTCTAACAGGAAACGGTATCATTTTGTCAATGAAAATTTATTCCGTTTATTGTCCCAATCAACCCTATCATCCATGGATGCTTGGATCTAATGCATGTGAAGAACAATTCGCAGGCTTGTCTGGTTTTTGTAGAGGAAAATCAAACCTGTGTAAGTTAGACATGATAGATCTCTCTGGCCGAATACAGAAATTGAAGGAATTGAAACTGCTGGGAGTAGGTTTGCCAGAGGCCCATACACCAGACTGGAATGATATTGACAAAGAAATCACAGAGGGCATGAAATCTGCAGACAAGGAAGTATTAAAAACAATAGAACTTTTGGGTATGCTACCGAACCTCGTGAAAGGAAATATTATTAGACAAGAGGGGATAACCTCATATACCTCAATAGAGCTGTTGAAACTTGGATCGATTCTGAAGAGTTTATTCCTGATGAAAGCAAGGTTATTGACATTGACGAAT